TAAAAGATAAAACAGCTTCACAAAAGGCAAAAGATCTGCCAGTTGGTTGGTTTCAAATCTCATGTTTTACTATCCCTTACTTCCTAAGGGCTCAGCAGCACCCACACAGCTGGGGGGTTAAGTAAGGGTGAGAGTGAGGGGCACAGAGAAGCATGGGAGTAGGGTCTCCCTGGCTTAACATCTCTACTACTCTACATGTGCTAGTCCATTTCTGTTGCTTATAACAGAACACCTGAATCTGGGTAATCGACAGAAACGGACTAATACACTACATTTGTCCTACTCTGGCCTTCCAGTAGAGCAGCAAATGGTCCTTCACTAACCTGCCACTTCCCCTGTGGCTCTTTTTATCTCAAGACCAGATCAATTTGTAACTTGGTTTCATGCCTGGTCAAACCAGTAACCTCATTTACTACCCTTGAAATCCAGTATTCCCATGGTAAGTACCCTGTTACCTCCTATTTAAGTATCTACTATAGCCCGTCTCCTCCTGCTTGGAAAATCACCTGAGTCTTAGGTTCAGTATGGATGATTTCCAAATCAATAGCCACACCCTTCGTAAACACCTTTGGACACCTACAGGCCTTGTTTGAAATCTATATCTAAAACCGTTCCTCTTCCCCCCAAGCCAAATGCCTCTCCCCCAGGCATGCTCTGTCCAATTGTCCTGTTTTTCTGTCTACATAGAACTTATAACTATCTGGAATTATATTATTTATAAGTTTCTTATTCCACTCATCACAGGGATTTCATTTCAGCTTCCATGTCCCCATCCATTCCTACCATAATCAATCCCAGTAACTGGTCATTTGACTTCCATTGAATATCAGCCATCAAGGTATAAATTAATTTCAAGAACACGACTTCACAGTGTTAAATACAGAACACAAGGGCCACATGTAAACATGCACATGCCATTCTCTTCTATGTATTTAACAGGCATTAGAGTCTATTGTTTTGGATTTATGATATATGTGTTATACATATAAAATATGAAGACATATGCTTATACGCATTTTATTGACTTGGAAGATAATAAATGGAGGCACATGATGATAAATATTATAAACATAATTAGGGGGGATAAAGTTAAAATAGCTCACAGAAATTTTTTTCCATATCCTTGTCAAGATTAGTCTTCTCTATACATTTTCCACAATGGTTTCAAGAAAGAAATGTACTCAGATTTTAGGAAATGATCCCTCTTCTCAAAGGCCAGTGTTATTGAAATGAAAACAATTTTATTAAGCCATAAACAAAATCAGAGTTCTCTAAGGTTTTTAATTGTTTCCTTTTCATGAAAGTTAAAATGGTGTCAATACACTCAAAGGAGCAAGAAAAGAAATGGCGAAGCAGAGTTGCAGTTATATGTGTGAAATGTTTAATTTAAGTGCAGTCAACCATTAGAACTATAGTTAACAATGGACATGAGATACTCATTTTTTCAGTACATGCTTATATTGGGCTATCAAGACATTTTTAGCCAATTAGCTTGCTCAATTGACTAAGAATATCCTACCTCATTTACCTGAATAAAGATGTATCAGAGGAACTTCAGCAAGATATAATGATTTTATAGTAGCACACAGAAAAGACAGAAACAAGTCCTCAATGGAAAATT